TGTCCGAAAACGGACTGTGACAGAGCTTACATGGCGACGGAGCATGCGCGCTCGCGTAAATATATTCAATTTCAGGGAAAAATGATATATTCTCTTATAAAACGGGTAATAAAAATAAAACTCTCAATTAAAAGTATTAATATTTTTAAGACCTTTTTTTTAGTGTAAGATCTATTTAAAAATCTTGTGCCGTTTTGGAGAAATTTTGCAAAATATGACAAAGATAGGTACTCTTTGGGGATTTTTTTTCTAATAAGCGGTTGACAAAAATACAATTTTGTTAAATTAAAAACATTTACCAAATCTTCTTCTGTTACCCTGTATTTTTTCTTTGTGGATTAAATGAACAGTTATTGAGATTTTTTAACTTAAATATCCTAGATTTAGGCATTTCAACCACTGTTAAGGCCTTAAATGAAGATGAAGATATCGCAATAATATTTTTTAGATAAGGGCCAAGTGTCTAAGAAATTAAACTTAGAAATCCTGATTTTATCCAGTAGTTTTGCCGTGATGCGCGCACAACTGCAAACCTCTATCATTTTATTTATATAGATTATTATCATGTCAGAAACACTACATTTACTGAACCGCCGAGTTTGACTATGGACTGTATGTGTTGAGTCTCAAAAACCACTTTTTGATGTCACTGTATAAGTCTCGCCGACAATTATATCAAGTACTCATTCATTAATTTTTTCATTCATTCATTCTGGCCACTATTTTCTTACAATTTTTAACACCCTTCTGTGAAAAATGGAACGCAAAAATTTGTGTTCTGGTATGAATTTTTCACCGTGTAGTGACAACGCAAGATCATCTACCACCATGCATCCCGTTGGTATCGTAAAAAACTAAAAAAAAAACTAAATTAGAGATGGACAGCAACATTATCCTAATGGTTGCCAAGCATAGCAACCATGGCAAATATCCCCACTATAAAGCAATTTATGCGGGTGGCCTATGTTCAGCTGTGGACTTTTGAAATAATTATTACATTATTTATTTAAGGCTTATTGCTTAATTACAAGGCAAATGAAATGAATATTGGCTCTGGGGTTAGAACTAAAGACCCTCAATACTATAATAGGGTACTATAAGCACTAAACCAAGTGTAGAGAATAATTGTAACTAATAAGGATGCAACATATCCTGCAGTTTGTTTGTATGTACGCGCATTTGCTAAATGCGTTAAATATAGCCGGTCGGTCCGTCTGCTAAGCGCTGACTAAGCGGTTAGCGCCCGCCTGTTGCAGGCGCGTGTCTTTTTTTGTAAACGCAAACGCTAAAGTTTACTGCGAACGTATTCTCGGTAAACAAGTCGTTGGTAAACGTGTTGTGTTACTGAAATAAATTGCTTGACAACCCTACAGGTGTAGTCAGGGTTGTCACTTCTAGGTACTAATCGGACACTCCTCATAGTCCGTTACTATTCCGGTTCTTTACTCGTTATCTGTGTATAACAATATTTATCACTAAGAAAAGTAACAAATTTTATAAATCATCTTGTTTTTTTTTTGTTTTTATAATATATATAAAAATATAAGGCACACAGACAACGAGCACACAGTCCACCTGATGTGAATGTGACCCATAGACATCTACATTTATCCTCGTTTGCGAATCAAAATGCAGATGCGTTGTCACCCGTGAGGACTAAGATGGAATGCCTCGTTTCCACTTTCCAGTAAAAAGGTTATTCTGTGGTAGCGTCGTCCTACCCAGGGTGCAATGTATATTTTTAAACCGAATTCAAAAAGGAGGAGGGAATTTTTAATTTCATTATCTTACAAGCTATGAAAGTTTCACTGTTGTACATAGGCATGCTCCATAGATTGTCTCATAGAGGTTTTGTCATAGTTGTGACGCTCGGAAAATGATGTTTTTTTCAGCAGTTATCCGTGACTCGGGGTATAAATAAAAAAATTCTACGCAGTTAATAAGACTCTAAATTCGTCGGCCTATAATATATTTTTTTATGTTTGATTATTACGATTTTTAATCGAAGATGGGGACCTAAAGTCACAGTCTCCACTTATGGTCAGATGGACTGTATTGTTTTTAGAGAAAAGGGGAGCAAACGAGCATACGGCTCAGCTGATGGTAAGTGAGTACCGCCGCACCAAAGAGTATAATTACTGTCATATACCGCACATAAACAAAAACACCAGGGGAATTGTAGGTGCGTAACCGACCTTATAAAAAGGCTAAAATCCTTTTTAAACGGAGTAGCTTCTGCGTAGGCTTAATCTTGAAGGTTGCTAAGTATCGGTCCGGAAAAATCGCCTTGTGGTAGCCGATTTCAACAAAGAATTGGTGCGAAAAATATGCACGGTTGTATATAATTATGAATCAAGTGTAATATACTGTAACTGTACAGTCATGTACACAAATTAGCCTTCGTGCAAACGAGTTCCTTAACCTTTTAGTTTTTACCAATGTTCGCAGTACCGATGTGTTTTTGTTCATGTCCTACAAAAACTTCATGGCACATCATTAACAGAAGTCTGGACGTGCGTGAACACGGCCGCGGTGAACACTGATCGCGAAAATTAGTTTCGGATTTATATTCGTTTTGGTGGCTTCTTACCTACGCTTATTGGCTTCTGTTATATTTTAACGAATGGGTTGTTGACATTTCAGCCAATTGAACATTTAATGAGTTGTCAAAACAAGCGATACTACATAAATTGACGTCACAGATTTTAAAGTAACAGTCATGTTGGTTTTTTTATAGGATAGGGTGACAAACGAGCACACAGTCTATCTGATGGTAAGTGATGGCCCATAGACATCTACATCTATCCTCGTCTGCGAATCAAAATGCAGATGCGTTGTCACCTGTGAGGACTAAGATGGAATGCCTCTTTTCCAGTAAAACGGGTCTCCGGTTCTCTACACTCACCATACGAAACACAGCAGTGTTAAACTGCTATTTTACGCTAGTATTCTATGAGAGCGTGGTCCTTCCCCGGTAGAGCCGACCCATTCGTGCTAGAACTATACTACTAATATAGCTGCAGCATAGCTTTACCACGTGTAATATATTTGTATATTTTTTTTAAATACTAAAAATTTAACTAACCGAAAATTGAAATCGACTAAGTTTTAAAGAAAGAAAGAAAGAACATGCTTATTTGTTACTACAGTCGTTTAAAACCATTGACTTATATATTATTTAAAACTGAAACCTAAATATCAAAATAATCTATATATAAAAATCAATTGCTGTCCGTTAGTCTCGCTAAAACTCGAAACTGGTTCGACCTATTATGATGACATTTTTGTAGGTGTTTGAAAGGGTCCCTAGGTGGTTTAGATTCACAATTGGACTCGGTTTGTGGAGCTGTTGTCGAGATCTAGAAATAACCCGTGCGAAGCCGGGTGGATCGTTAGTAACCATATAAAAAACTATGTTCACTCTGGACTGTAGGAACGAAAGAGTTGGCACAGTGCTATAACAACAGAGTTACCGCAGTTTTGTATTCTGTCAAATCCCAATTGAAAAAAAAATCAAATTATATAATATATCGTTATTTATTATTAATGGACTGCCTAATTAAGTTTTTTTTTTTTTAATTCAAATGCACTTATGTTTTTTTTAATATAAAAAGGGTGACAAACAGACAGTCTATTGATGTTAGGCGGATACTGTGATATAGGCTTCTACATCTATCCTCAATTAAAAATCAAACTGTAAATGCGATGCTACCCCTGAGGACAAATATAGAATGCCTTGTTACCAGTTTACTCCACTACCCATACGAAAGCTAGCCGTGAAAGAACACTCTAAATATATCGAAAAGGAAGCTAGAATTAACCTTATCAGTTCTGAGTTAGTTAAAATTTATATAGAACTAGCAGTCCGCCCCTACTTCGTACGTTTGATTTCTGGATCCCGACAACAACGCCACCTTCCGGATCCAATTGTAAATCTAAACCATTCTCTAATCAACTTAATCACACACAAAATTTCATCAAACTCGGTTCAGCCGTTTAGGAGGAGTTCAGTCACATACACACGGACCGAGGAATTATATAATAAATAGTATGCATGTATTATACATTTAAACCTTCCTCTTGAAACGTTCTGTCTATTGATGGAAACCGCATCAAAATCCGTTGCGTTGTTTAAAATATATAAGCGTACAGACGACGGGAAGCGGCTTTGTTTTATACTATGTACTCGTAGAGAAGAGATTACAGTAAATATAATGTGCTTTTTCCGTTGAAAAATCGGCAAAATTTTCTAAATTCGGAGTTGGTGTTTTGCCTTGTGCTGGCGGTTTAAGAGAATCAATCATCCCGTTTCTTCTCATTTGTGTTGTAAGAAGCGACCGTGGGATGCGTTTAATCCAGGCGTAAAATACCCATGCCGGAGACGAGGAGCAGATCGGGTGCCCTGGTACGATCATCAATCCGATTGCCACGAGTGACGGTTAAGGCAAATAAATCCTCTATCCTTGTGGACTATGGCTGATGTAAAATCAGTAAAATAATTTAGTTTCATATAATGTGTAGTCTTCGCGTAAATATAAGAAATCATTACTTAAGTATGATCAAATTATTATAATACAAAAAAATTTTGACTGAATTCAATTCTATGGAGAATCACTTTTTGAAATCTGCAAATAAACCAATAACATCAAATACGACGAACTATGACTAACAGCATAGGTGCTCACAGAATACCAGTGAATACCATAAAATATCAGCTTAATGTTTCTGTGTTTTGCATGATGAGTGTAGAGAACAGGAGGCCCGTTTTACTGGAAATGATCCATTCCATCTGCGTCCTCTGGCGTAACAACGCTTCCGCATTTTGATTACTAACCGAGAATGGATGTACATGTCTATGGGCCACTGTATCAACTTACCAACAGATGGACTGTGTGTTCGTTTGTCACCCGTATTTTCAATCTAATAGCACTAAAGCCAAAAATCACAGATTGCTGGTGGGTAGTTTTAATAATTAGGTAATGTTTTTTTTGTCCTCACAGAAGGCGAACTAGAAACAGAATGGCTGCAAGCAGCCGGACTGGCATCCCTCGCAGCGCCCTTCCAAGATGGACAGGAAGTGACGGAGGCCCAGCTGGGTGAGGCCGTTAGGCCTTTGCCCCGAGAGCAGGCCGCCGCAGTGCGCCGCCGGGTACGAAGGCTCAACCGCACTGTGAGGAGGAAACGCGCCGCTTCCAGAGCGAAGAAACCCGATATCCGAGATGTGTTCCGTGATTTGGAGGTAAGATTTGTTCATTTTCATTACCCATTTTTATATATCTTTTCATAAATATATTATAAAAAGATGGTTAGCGCTCGCTGTAAGCTTCACAGTTCTCGAGTAACCCGGGTTCGATCCCCGCCGGCACCAATGAAATTGTTAATTGCAATTTTAAGTGCTGATTTACCACGTGCTAGGCGGTGAAGGAAAACATCGTGAGGAAACCTGCATGTCTGAGAAATAAGAAAAAAAATATTTCGAAGACATGTGAAGTTCGCCAACACGCATTGGGACAGCGCGACGGACATTTCCTTGCCCTAAAACCCTCACAGAAATAAGAGGAGGCCTGTGACCGCCCAGCAGTGAGACGTACAATAGGATGTAACTTTAACTTTTTTAACTTTAAGCAAATGGTAGCACCCAGCCATTTTCTCTATTGAAATTAGTATGTTTCTTGATTTCAATAGCCTCGCGAATCATCCTTGGAAGAAATCGGTGTTCTTTAGCGAGTATTTGTTGTCTATCTAATCTGATGTAGTGGCGGGGGCAATCCTGTATGTGTTCATAGTTGCAGTCTATTCTGCAAACTTCCTTGAGCGTCGATTCTTCACATCAGCTATGTGTTCTTTAAGGCGGGTTTCTATTGATCTTTTAGTTTGTCTTATGTAAGAAAGACCATATTCAAAATCAAGCTTGTACACTCCTGCATCATGATGCAGGAGTGTACAAGCTTGAGTCAGTTCCCCTCGTAACCATGGGTGTTGCGAAGTGCTCGAAACGTCGGGAATATAAAACAAGTTAATATACGCGATAAAATCTGTAAAAACTAGTTTTATTTAAATGTGTAGTGTTCGCGTAAACATAAGAAGTCATAAACCCGTATGATTCTTGAATCTGTTAGATTTATCATCATCTTTTGCTAAAAGTAATACCAACTTACACGGATAAGTTTTTGTTAGATCTTTACAGTCTTACGTAGCAAAGTCAAAAGTCAATGCACCGGCCTTGAATTAAGTCTATTGTGCAATTCAATTCATGTCTCGGTGTTCATATTGTATAAATATATAGTTGTAAATTAAATAATAAATCTAATGTACCATCGGTAATATCCGCATATAGTTTATTATATATTTACAATATATTTGTGTTATAAATACACACATTACACTAGCATTAAAAGTATCATTAAGTCCTGACCGACTATTAACCATTTAGATTCGCCGTGTTGTGCTGTCCCTTGTCTATTATCTAGTTTTAGTTATCTAGACAATAATGATGGAACATTCTATTCGTTTCGCCCTTTCTATAACTTAAATTGAAAACAGTTACGGGCCGACACTGCACACTTTAGTTTATGATCGATCGACAGCTTACAAAAAATCAAAATACTCTAGGTAATCTCTTGTAGGATCCACTTAGTGTGCGTGCAAAAATACTATAACACACATATCGTCACCTTTATGGTAAATTTGCGAATGTGCACAACCACAGATTTTACAGGACAGCAAAACAAACAATTTTTGAAATTTTTGAAATGGTGTTAGATAAAAATAAGTTTTTTAGTTTTGAAATGTCAATTATAATATAACGATCTACGAGTATACAATAATGTAATACCTTAGCGCATTAGCGAAATTAATCACATTCGTTACTCTAAGTGCTCTTAGAAAAAATAAAAAAATATTCTTTGGCCCAAAGTAAGTTTACGTAAGTGTCAAATTCGCAGTTATACAATAATTATTTGCAGATGCGTAATAATTATTGCATTTTAAACTTGCGAATGGAATAGGAAACTGTATGCTATTTTTAGTTAAATAAAATTAGAATGGCAAGTTTAAGCTCTAATCTGTTTATGTTTTTAACCGTGTAACATTATTCAATATTTTATTGAATCGTCAATGATATAAATTGAAAAAGTGTTCAGAGTGTGAAAAGTTTATTCTTCTTTTAATTAACTATTAAATAAACTTTGATCTTTTTTATAATTATTAACTAAGTCACACAATAATCAGTCATTTATAAAAAATAATAACATCTAGGATTAAAATACACCTACATTATTGTATTAACATTTTTAACTCATTAAAATATTGTTAAAAGATGAACAAAAATAAGACTATAAAAAATAAATATGTTTAATAAAAGACGAAGAAAATTGAATCTCAAAGATTCAATCTTCTTCATCGTCTTCTTTATTATCAGGTTCTGGTAAAATCCACAACTGTTTCAGATACTGGCTGGTTCTCAAAATATTGATGATGATCCTGGCACAATTTTACTAAATCTGTCTTTTTCGTCTTTGAAATAGGCAATCGACCACTGTAGGCAGATTAAGGTACAATACTACTATAACTTTTCCCTCTCTTTGCCTTCAGTTTTAATTTAGTGAACCCTTCACTATTGTAATAAATTTTTATAAAAATTGATTTCGGATTTTTATGTCCAATGATATTGAACCCATATTGCATCTTGAAACTGTGGAACTTAAGAATAGAATAGAATAGAATGATTTTTATTCAATATGGATTATTACATAATACTTATTGAAAGTCATTATTTTATTTACCATTGGTTCGGAAAATACCTCTGTCCTGGGAAGAACTAGCAAGAAACCCAGCGGGACTTCTTTTTTTAAAAACATAATTTCACTTAACAATAATTTTGTTTATATTATTTTAAATGAATTTTCATAGAACCAGCATGGTGGCGATCACCTTAAGGAAGGGTTTGCTGACTTTTTTGTTCCTTTTTAATAAATTAAAAAGTTGATTTTTTTTTGTTATCCGCCGTAATTGTGTGACTACATTATCACGTCTCATCAGTTTGATTAATAATCTATTTAAAGGCAGATATTGAGAGCCGTGGTAGCTCAGGAGCTAAGCGCTCGCAGTAAATTTCACAGTACGCGAGCAACCCGGGTTTGATCCCTGCCGGCACCAATGAAATTGTTAATTACAATTTTAAGTGCTGCTTCACCACGTGCATGGCGATGAAGGAAAACATCATGAGGAAATCTGCATGTGTGGGAAATAAGAAAAAAAAACTATTTAGCAGACATGTGACGTTCGCCCACACGCATTGGAGCAGCGCGGGGTACATTTCTCTGCCCTTAATTCTCTCAGAAATAAGAGGAGGCCTGTGCCCAGCAGTAAGACGTATTTAGGCTGTAACTAACACAAATGCTGCGATTTCAACGCTTCTTCGCTTGCGTTGAGCTTCATCCCAGGTATAGCAATGGACATTTTGGTTTCCCCAGTTATACAATGTTAAATCGTATACTGCTAGCAGCTTACGTGCATAAAAATATGAACCAGCCGCTCCTTTTGGAGTCTGTATCTGTAGTGTGTTTTTTATAGGATAAGGGTGATAAACGAGCACACAGTCCACCTGAACACCTGAATACTTTCCTGTATTTTTCACATCTCATTTGAATTGTACTCTTTTTTTAAAGCTTTAGTTTTGTTATATTTGTTACTGATGTACTTCTTTGTGACAAATTACGAGAAAAATAATTTTCGTAAGAGTGCTGTTCTACTCTCCACAAAGTTAAATAAAAGAGTACATATATAAATCACAAAGTTTAGTCAGAGTCAGAGAATAGAGAAGTTTTCTATTTTTTCCTCCTTTTTTATTAAACTCTCTCTAACTGTTCTAAGAGTTCTTATGTATCATGGGGGCAGTTTACATACATAAATTTCACGAAGACTAATATCCAGATCCGGAACAATTACCTGTAGGCCATACAAATACTTGTTCCGTGCGGGATGCGAACCCGCGTCCCTTAGCGCTGCAACTTATTGCTAAGTCACTGCACCGTGGAGCCGTCGGGTATTAGTAGTACGTAGTATAATCCGTGTATTTTAAATATGACTTTTAGCCAAATCAAGTTGTCTAGAAAAGTTGTAATTTTTAGTAATGGTTACAAATGATAATAATCAGTAAAATTTAATCAAATTGAATTGAAACATTTTAAATTTTCTTCTAATTAGTAAGCTGAAGTGGCAGTGGGCCGGCCATATAGCTCGAAGAACCGACAACCGATGGGGAAGAAAGGTTCTCGAGTGGCAGCCTCGTACCGGTAGGCGAAGTGTAGGGCGTCCCCCCACGAGATGGAGTGACGACCTGGTAAGACATGCAGGAAGTCGATGGGTGCAGGTGGCTCAGGACCGTGTTTTGTGGCATTCTTTGGGGGAGGCCTATGTTCAGCAGTGGACTTATGAAGGGCTGTAATGATGATGATGATGATGAAATTTTCTTCACTTATCTAAATATTGAAAGAAATTTCACCGAAAGCATTAAACATATTGGCGGAGGCGCAGAATCAAAAAAAAAAAAACAAAATAAAATCACTACGTCATTCGCTGCCCGAAAGATCACAGTCAATTTGTGTTCGAATCGTTGACAGAACTAAATTGGTGGCATTAAAAAGTAAGTATTAAAAGATAAAAAGTAGTAACCACACAAAATGCAATACAGGCGACACTCCCTTAACCAGTTTTGAGTATGCCTCGAATTAACTCGCTTGTGTTAACACGTGAAGTTGATACAAGTTAATTCGATTAGATTGAAAGAGGTTTAGAGAGAAAACAGGCGTAACATCGTGTCAGTGAGGCTCGAAGCTGTCCAACATGGACCACCTGATCATTATTGAGGAATGCGCCCTAGACCAACCGTTAAACGAGGTTAACGTTACCCAGTGAACCAGTGTATACTACGAGTATATTTATGTATAGGTTTGTTATTTTAATGAGTACATGTGATTTCATAAATATGAAGTAACAAATTCTTGATAACTGATAAACAGAATTTGATACACGATATCAAAACAAAATCACATTTACCGGCAATGTTTTGCCTAAAATGGAGTCCAACCATAGATTAACTAACCAAAACTCCATTTTAGTCCTTTGTATGGGAAAGGGTAAAAGGACCTCGAGGGCCATGACACGGCAGAAGATGGCCATAAGAGCAATCTATGATTTAAAACCTAAGAGTAGCTCACATAAAAAAATAGATTAATT